ACAATCTGTATTGTTAAAAGCACTATATAAATAAAGGTGACTTGACTTGACTCTAGGCTGTGATTGGCACTCCACCACACAGTGCCATTAACTTTGTAACTAACCTGTATGTAGGTTCTATGAGCGACCAGGAGATTTTCAGAAGGGAACTGTCAAATGCCTCACCCCAGACATGGCAATTTTACGATTAACAAAGGATTTTTTTTTTTTGTGGATTACCTTGTCCCTTGCGAGGTTTACTGACCTGCCCGTGTCCAGCAGGCACAGTCAATTGCCGGATTGAGGGTTCATGTTGAGAGGTGTATCCGGAGGGTGAATGAGAGCAAACTGTTTGACAAACTCATACCACTGTCAGTATGCAGCAGCAATGACCAGCTGTTTGGTGTTGCTTGATTTCTGGTCAACTACCAGAATGGACCACTGGTAAAGTCATGAGCAGTTAAACACTGAATGCAAAAAGGTAATGATAGTGTTAAATGACAAGTGGGTTTTTTTTCTATTTCACAATATTACAGTTTTTTTTCTTCTGTATTTTCGATCAAATAAATGTATAGCTTGGTGAGCATAAGAGACTTCTTTCAAAAACATTAAAAACTGTAATGTGTCCAAACTTTTGACCGGTAGTGTACGTACATATTAATCAAACTTTTCTCTTTTTTGTTTGTTGAGGATGTTATTATAGCCGTGATATTATTATTATTATGGTAACGCTTTAGATTACAACCCGTAAAGAACTACATAAGTATACTGAATTTACGGTGTACGTTTCTGTAAAGTGTACCTATAAAGAACGTACGTGCAGGTATAAGGGAATAATATGTTACGTTTGGGTAATAAGGGGGTAACAACCAGATATGCAACCTGCAAAGAACTGCGTAAGTAAACTGAAGTTACAGTGTAACTTTTTTGTAATTATAGTGTACCTATTCAGTACCTATGTGTAGGTATAAGGGAATAACATGAGAAGTTTGGGGAATAAAGGGGTAACAACCTGTAAAAATACAAATCATTTATACTGTAAGTATTTTTAAACGAAGAGGTACCTATTAAAATATTACGTGGTATGTATGGCCTAAACAACAATCTTATGTTTGGGAATGATTTAGAAAGACGATATACTTTTTATAATTTTATATTGGATTGTTCCATGTAGTTACAGGGTAAATACAACTTTTGCGGGTTGTAAATTAAAGTGGTGCTTGTTCCCCCCTTGTTCCATGTAGTTACAGG